GCTCTCCCGTGTGTCGGCTGCCGAGCGCTGTGCGCCTCGGGCCCCCGTCTTCTCGCGGCTCTCCCTGGTCCACCCGGGCGCGGCGTGGTCGCGGGGCGGACCGCTCCCCCCTCTCGGGCCGCGATGGTGCGGCCCGCTCCTCGGCGGCTCCCCCGCCCGCGGGAGCTTTGCGAAAGTCCGGAGTTGGCGAGTTGGGCGCTAACTGGTGCGGGCTGGGTAAGGGTGCACCTTCGCGCGCTGGGACGGGCCTGCGACCCCAAAGCCCAGCCCGGCAACCTCTGCTCTGGACTCCAGCCGAGAGTTTGCGAACTCCCCGGGGATATGCAAATAGTGCTGGAGCCCGGGCGGATGCTCCGCGCCTGCAGCCCCCGGCACTGTCGCTTCTCACCCGCCTGGACTCGGCCGCAAGGACCGGCGGACCTACTTTGACTCCGGGGACTTGTTATTCCCAGGTGTGAAATGGGGCCACACCTGTGCTTCACGCGCACCGTTCTGCTAGGTGGCCCTAGTTTTCTTCCTCTCGGAGCTCCTGGCGTTAGGTGTGAACGCCCTCTGTAAACTGTGGAGTGCTGTCCCCGGCCGCCACCCATCTGTTGTCCCTGCAAACCGGCGGTGAGGTGACCGAAGCCTTTCCGCAGGACCTTTTCTCACGCAAGTCCAAACCTCCTTGGAGTGGGAATGCCTTCCAGTCCCACGTGTGCTTCTAGGCGCTCAGCTCACGGAACCCTTTCTCGAAACCTCTTGTGGGTTTCTGTCTCCCTTTCAGCAACTCAGCAAACCATCAGCGAACGCCTACTGTATGCAGACACTGTACCAGGCACCAGAATGAAATGAAAACAGACCCTTTGTCCGGGAGCTGAAACATTAGACACGTAATCACGTTAGACCAAGGACTGTGTCTATCACCGTGGTTAGGGCTCTGAGAAAGTCGGGCCGCCGGGGCGCCGCGCAGGGCCGCGGAGCCGGACTCCCATGGTGACGCCTGTGGCTCCTCAGTGCTCTTCACTTAACTGCTTCCTCTCTGATGCTAAGGGACGAAGTGCCCTCTTCGTTGCCTTCCTCTTTGCCACCCCCGCATGCGTCCTCTTGATTCTCTGCTTCTCTAGCTCAGCCCTTGGACCAGCGTCCCCACAGTTCCTGCCTCCCGGTTCTTGTAGCGGTGGGGATTCAATTTTCTGAAATCACAGCTGGGATCTTGACATCTGCTGCAAAACCTTCAGAGCTCCCCTCACCTCGGCTATAGGGTCCACATTCCTCGCTGTGACCTGCTAGGGCTGATCTAACATTCTCTCCTTCTCTCTGCCCTGCCCGGTTGCTGGCTGTTTTCCTTCATGTGCTGTAGACTACGCGGTTCCTTCACCCAGAAGGCCGTCTCCTCTTCCCCTCTAAGTCAGTGGAAATCTTGTTCAACCTTCCAGGTCTAGCTAAACTGCCACCTCCTCTATTAAGTCCTCCAAAACTCCTCCTCAGGGGGCTGCTGTCTTTCTGTGGATTTCTGTCCCAGTAATGTTTACCTTTTATTGAATATTTACTCTATGCCAGGCACCATGTTAAACCCTTGACATGCATTACCTCTTTTAATGCTCACAGTTACCCTGTGACGTAGGTGCTTTCCTTGTCCTCCTTTGCAAATGAGACTCATATTAAAGAAAGCCACAGCCAGAATGGTCCTGTTTTAACAAAGGTCAGAGAGCCTCACCCCTCTGCTCAAATCCCTCCAGTGGCTTCCCACGTCCCACTGGATTCCTATAAGGAACTTCAAGATCCTTCAAGGCTATATATGAACAACCCTCACCTTTTACTCTCTTCATTGTGCCCCAGCCCACTTGCCTTCTTGCTGTTCCTCAGAGCACCCCAGGCACATTGCTGCCTCCCGGCCTTTGCACTTGCTGTTACCTCTGCCTAGAATGCCCACTCTTCTATCCCTAGATCCTAGCCCTATGCCTTTAAAAAAATTTTTTTTTATTGTGGTAAAATATACATAACATAAGCATTTAACCATTCAGTGGCATTAAGTACATTCACATTGTTGTCAACCATCACCACTATCCATCTCCAGAACTTTCTCATCATCCCAAACTGAAACTCTGTCCCCATTAAACGCTAACTCCCCACCTCCCCCTCTTCTCAACTCCTGGCAGCCACCATTCTACTTTGTCTTTATGAATTTGACTATTCTAGGTATTTCATATAAGTGGAATCATACAATATTTGTCCTTTTGTGTTCGGCTTATTTCACTTCACAGTGTGTTTTCAAGTTTCTTCCATGTTGTAACATGTAACATGTAAAAAAGGAATTTCATCCCTTTTTAAGATTGAATAATATTCCATTACGTGTATATACCACATTTTGTTTATCCATTCATCCATCCATGGACATTTGGATTGTTTCCACCTTTTGGCTATTGTGAATAATGATGCTATGAATAGCCCTGCTATGAATGTTTTTTATACTGCTGTTGATACACAGTTATTTATGTAGTTGAATTTTCATCCTGTCTCTTTGAGGAAAGCAGAAGTTCCTAGAGGAAAAAATAATGTTGCAGAATTATTTTATGTGCCTTCACAGCACGGAGCACAATGCTAGGAACGGAGTAGCTAGAGTGATCCTTTTATAAACCTGAAGCTCAGCCTGCTCCTGGGAACTCCCCGATGACTTCCCTTCATGTTAGAATAATCTATGAGTATCCTTACCATAGTCTGTGAGGCCCTACATGATCTGACCCAACTTCTAGCTATTGCCCTCTCTCCTTCCCTTCTAGTTACACTGGTTGTCTTGATATACAGTCACGTATCCCTTAACGACAGGGGTACATGCTGAGAAATGTGTCGTTAGGCAATTTCGTCACTGTGCGAACATCATAGAGGGTACTTACACAAACCTGGATGGTGTAGCCTACTACACACCTAGCCTATATGGTATAATCTTATGGGACCACTGTCGTATGTGCGGTCCGTCGTTGACTAAAAAATCGTCATGTGGCGTGTGACTGTATTCCTCAAATGCACCAAGTTGAAGATGGCCTCAGGGCCTTTGCAAATTTGTTGTGCCATTCTATAAATCTCTTCCTCTAAACCTTTGCTTGGTTCTCTCCCTCCTATCTCTCTGGAACCAAATCAAATGTCGCCCAGGGAGAGCTTCCCTGATCAGCTGATCTAAAATATCAAAGAGCACCCCCATCATCTCCATTTGCTTGATTTTTCTTCAGAAGAGGTGTAATTTTTGGTTTCCCCCTCTAGAAAGTGAGCTCCAAGTGAGGAGGAACTTTGTATTTTTTGTCCTCCACGGTATACTCTGCTCTGCTAGCACATACTTCTCTTTTTTAAGAATCAGAAAACCTGTGCTCTTTCCAGGTGGAAGAATTTACAAAAAGGGTGCCTTCCTCTCCCTGGGCCACAGCAGAGCTGGCGTGGCCAGGGCACATGGATTTCAAGCCATACTCCAGCTCAACCACGTGAAGCTAAGCTGTGGCCCCTCCCAGGCCTGCAACACAGTAGGTGCTCGATAATTACCAGTTGAGTGAAGTACATAGCAGCTGAGGTTATGTATGGGAAGATCTTCAGTGTCTTTCTCCTCCCCACCCCCTCTTCCAGCTCCCTAGAGGATTCTGGACGAAATTAGATTTGAGCTTTTTCTTGTGTCTTACCTGAGTGATTTCATCAAAGCTGCACACTGGCCCAGTCAGCCCTCAATGGAAACTCTGGCTCACGAACCCAGCTCTAATCCCAGGACTCTGACCACATTTTCTACAATGTGGGAGGCACCAGGCATGGGGTGGGGGATCCTCTTGGGGCTTTATCCCATTTACTGAGACAATACCATTTGAGCCATGTGGGCAGCACCTCAGCTCTGGCTGTTTTCCTGGGAAAACTGATCTGGTCATTGATTGAAATTGAACAAGAAGTGTTACCTTCAGACTGAGCTGTCCTAGGCCTATTGTGGGCATTAAATGAGATAATGTATATAAAGGTCTTACCACAGATGCTGGCCTAACATAACTAGTACTTGTAGGTGAAATAAAAGTCCAACACCAATAAGAACAGGATTTCAGTTGCATAGCAAAAACCTCCGGCTCTGGCCTGGGCCTCTCCAGTCTCATCTGTCACTCTCCTTGTCACTCACTCCAAACCAGCCACTCCCAGTCCCTTCCCAGTCCTTGAACACACTGTGCTCATTCCAGCCCCAAGGCCTTTGAATTAGCCCTTGTCTCTGCCAGGAACGCTGTTTTCCCTGATCTTCCTCCATTGTTGGTCTCAGATTTCAGCTTAAACACCACCTCCTCACAGAGACCCTCTTTGACCGCCCACCTGAAGTGCTCTCTCTGGTACTTTACATCCTGCTGTGTTTTCTTCATGGTGCATATCCCTCTTGGCCATAATCTTATTTATTTGCTTATTTACTTGTTTATTATTGAGCTAATAGAATGTCAGCTGCATGGGGCAGTTATATTCCTTCCCTCCTGTGTCCCCACATCCTGGAACAGATGTGCCTGGCACACAGAAAGGGTTTAATACATACATCTGATGAATGATGAGCATCTCCTCTCTTCCCCTATCTTCCCATCTTTACTTCCTTTTCTTTTTTTAAATGAGCTGTTTATTCTCTTGCTCACTCTTCAGTTTTCTGTCTTGTCATCAGTAACAGGCAGATCTTTCAGTATCCTAAGACATACTTCAGCAAGAAGAGAGGTGACAGGTGCAGGC